TTATTTACGACTATAACGAGTAATTTTCTGTAGGGAAAGTAACTTAAAACATGCTTTTGGCTTGTAAAACGTTATTACTAGAGACTGGATTCGCTATTTTTTTTTACAGATTTAGCATATTTTACTAATAACCTAGTAAGTCAAACCTACTGATACAGTACATTTTTAGTTTTTATCTCGCCACCGTGCTTTTGTTTCAAGTGTAATTCACAAACAGGCACCGACAGACACATTGTTTCGATCTTTTGAACCTCATTAGTGCCAGGCAGCCATGTGATGTAAAGCACACTTTAAAACATACTGTCACACCGCTATAAAGCAGTCGGATACAGCAATACCGGTAATCAGCTCCATCAAAGATTTTGCACAAAGAACCTTACTGAAGAACGAAAAAGTTCAAGGAAACAGCCATCATTCACCAGAACCCTGACTGCTTTAGTAAGCCTTCAGTCGACATAAGGAACATTTGAAAACCGGTGTTAAACAAATGTAACCTTGTAATAATACATTGCATAGATTCGTCAAACCTGGATGCTCCAATACGCTTTCGTTGTACCTCCAGTGCACCCGGCTAAGATATAAATGGACCTTTTGGTACTAAACTTATTCATTATTCACCTGAAGACGAGATACCTACCAGTTGAAACATTGTGATTAAAAATACCTTTGTTTCATTCGAGAAAAAAGATGATAAAAAATGTTTAACAGCTTTATTTAGAGAATACAATTTTTATATGCATTTAAATAAAAAAATAGTTCTGGATTTGATGACAAGTTACAATAACCAGGATCAGTAGCGAACAAAAAACGGAGCTACACATCAGAAATGAAGCTGCTGAAATGTTTTTTAGACTAGTGCTGGATGGTCTAATATTAGATCAAGTGAGAGCTGCAAAACCTATTCATGGAAGATCTAATACGGCTCTATACATATATATATATAATGTATACATACATTATTTAAAATAGTAAAGATTATCAATAAATTCTCAAGGTAAAAACTATTTTTGAATAAATTATTATTTGTTTCGGGTACCTAGTGTTGAATGCAGAAAAAGTATTTTGGCATGTATAAAATAAATTTATATATACATGCCAAAATAATTTAGCGAAATTGTTCAACTTTGCCCTATGTTCCTCTTTTATAAAACTGGGTTTTAACTATTATTTTAAATCAATAGTTTTAGTATTGACGTGGGTGAACTACAGGGGCGTGCTGGCAGTCCAATGCAGGCCTGGACTGGATAGTAGAGCAGTCCAGACTCAAGCCAGTTTCATATACTTAATATAGCTAGTAAAAAATGTTATACCTATAAAATAAAACCACATTCACCTACCTATGTAGTAAAAGTAATATTATAAAAAATACTTACAAGATTAGATATTACGATGACACCTCGGCTGATAAAACGTCCCGAGATAACTCTCTTCGCAACAAGGAACTTTATTCAGGTATTATAATATTATAATTATAAGCCGATTTGAAACGCGGTTATAGATTTGTTTTTTATATACACAATATTATACCCACAATCTTTACGAAAAAAAATTAATCTCTTTAGAATGCGAACAAAAATCAACTGCTTTGCGCACCACGTGAGCAATCTTTGATTTAGGTATTTGCCGCGTTAATTTAAATTCCCCGAAATAGGTAGTAGTTCTCATATGGTTTTGTTTTGGTTTATGGTAAGTTCTGTATAATAAATGCAGGCATGTAAGAATTAAAAATAGTCATTTTAAGTTCTAAAGTAAACGCAAATGTTTTTAAATATAAGATTTAACACTTTTAAAGCAAACGCATATGTTTTTAAACAATATTTGCATGTGTCAATGAAATTATGAATAAAATTTACTATAAAATGTAATAAAGCTAGATTGTCAAATTCAATGTTCTTTAATGTATAATTTCGTTGTTCGTAGTGTACAATGTACACTGTACATTAATAATTAATGATTAATTATGCCCAAGCTTTGCTAAAATTTGTCATTTTAAAAGGGAAGATAAGCAGTCCAGCAGGCCACCAAGAAGTGCAGGCCACCGGGCATTCGCCCGGTGTCCCGGCGGCCCAGCACGCCCCTGGTGAACTATTGCCCAAGATAATATGCTGCGCGGCAGTACCTGTAATGTTCGTTAACAATTAAAAATATATTTAAACAGGTAGGAGGCAAAACGTTACAACAGAAAATTTGGTAAAGTATGTATATGATTGTACACTTTTTTACAAAAAAAATTAACATGAATTAAAAATTGTAATCAAAAATCCTTATCCAGGTATTTTTTTGCATAATTTCATGTTTAAATTTATGTCGTTTCTGATATATCAATATATTAGCTGTTTTCGCAGCTTTGCGACTAGTACTAGTTTGGACATTCTAGGCAAGCGCATTTTAAAATTTGTCATGCACTTTCTAAACGCCAAATTTTAAAATGCGCATGCCTGAAATACCTACCCAGTTTAACGAAAACAGCTATTATTACAGTGCCCCTGTGTTAATGTATTGGCTACATCAATATTCTATTCTAAGCAACTCCATTTATGTCATAATAATACATAAACTTAATGTATAGGTACCTTGTTTGTGTATAAGTTACAGAAATGTATTTAAAGTTCTTACATTGTTTTCAAACATAAAATTTACCTTCCATGTAATTAATACTAATAAAACTACACATGCATGATGTGATAAATAGCTTGGAGCATTTTGATCAAATAACGGCATATGGAAATGAATGTGTTAGGTGCACTATATTAAATGCACATTTCACTGGTACAGTGTAAGTCGGTATGGAAAGGTCAATTTTAAATGTAATTAGTAGTTGAGGGTTTCATCAAAGTGTAATGAATACGTCGTGTCGGAATTTAAAAGCAGCCCACTGAACTCTTACAATCCGTTATTACAGGTGGTTTTTGGACACCGAACATCATATTATATTTCGTCTTTCTAAATAATCAATTATATACACTTCCTGTAAACATAAATTATAAGTAAAGGCATTGACAAAGGCATTTAATTATTTTGTTTTCCTGTTTTGTTTAAACAACCAAAACTAAATAAATGTGTATTAAAAACTTCCTTTATTTCAAAAAGCACTGTTTAAATTTTAAAATGTTATCATTTTAAAAACCATTCAGTCAAGTTTAATACCTAACTTTCGACAATATTTTCATTTTTCCTGTATATTAATCAGAAAAATTACTTGAAGTCGGAAGACAATGCTAAAAATTCATTAAGAATTACAGTTCACATATTACAAAAGCATAATAAGAATCATACTGCTTGTGATCCATTATGAAGGTAATAACACACTTTATAGTATCTTATACTTAATCTATTAGACACTAGGGTTTTATCATCATTATTAAAACAAAATTTAGATACAAATTTACATTAATATTGAATGTGAACACCATATTGTCATTTTCAGATTCATCTATTTCCCCATCAAACCTATTTTCCTTCCGACACATTGCATGATCGCTTCTCTATTGAAGAACTCACAGTTTTTATAGGTGCGATAAAAGCAATAAAAACCCGCTACATTTTAGCACATGTAGGGCATTATCTAAAAAATGTTTTAAAAATTCGTCATAAAGAACGACTCATACCAAGCTGCCAAAGATATATTTATAAATCAAGTCAAATTTAATTGTTTATTTTAGTTACATGAAAAAACGATTCATACCAGTATGCCAATAAATCGATGGGTATGTTTGATTGAAATATATCAAAAAAATAAACCTCAGGCAGACGCAAAACGGTTATCGAAAAAAAAAAACAGTTTCAGAAAATTATTTATACCATGCTGCCATTTTATTATTGAAAAAAATATGCTATTAAATTTTGAAGTCACCTACTTCATTGGTAGCGGGTTACAGCATGTACAACAATGTTTACAACAATAAAAATAGTGCAGACTTTTAGGATATAAAAAAACATACCAGACTGCCATTATATAATTATAAAAAATATGCTATTGGCATCCGGTTAAATTTTTATAAAATTAAAAAAGTCGGTAGGTATATGCATAATTTTGTATGTTTTATAACAATAATTCAATAATTATTAGTACAAAAATGTTAATTTATTCATTTTTCTCACCCCCCTCGTTTTTTCTACATGTTCATCGTCCTCATCATCCTCATCTTCTTCCTCGCTATGTTTTGCCTCAGTTAATCCTCGGCCATTCCAAGCGAAAAATAATGTAATAGTAAAATATCATTCAATTGATTAGTATCTTTTTATTATTAATTTTTGTTTAGAATTTATTGTAGAATAATAACACATAAAAATTATTATAAAAAATTGTATTAAAAAAAATTATATCATAATTATAACAAACATGCAAAAATAGTCCATTAATTCGTTAAGTATGTGGTATTTTGAAGAGTAGGCCGTGACAAAACAAAACAACTCCTGAGCGCGTCGTTATTTTTTGACATTTAGAAATTGCTTTAGGCGACAATTAGTAGTGATTCTTTTATGAAAAGGTTAGTGTTTATATATTTTTTTAATAATTTTATAAGTACTATTATTTTGTCCCGTCCATGGGTCAAAAAATACAAAAAATTGTTGTTTGGGGATGGAAAAAGGCGCTTTATATTTAAAAACTATTTTAGTTGCGTCAATTTATCTAAAAAATGGCTCCTAAGTCATTATAAATCCACAGTTTTTCTTTTTTGCATAAAATAAATAAAATTAAAATGTGTCCCGTCCATGGGTTTTACATATACTAGTGCAAAACATAACAAGAAATAATAAAATTGTACCCAATACTTTGCGTTTTTTTGAGCATTAAGGATAGAAATAAGTAAAATTTTTTCAAAAGGATGAATTTTATGACTGACTTGACCTTACTTCTAATGAAAAATATGTTTTGACTCTTTCTTGGTGGACAGAAATGTGTTTTTTGCACCAAATGTACAGTTTTCTTAATAGAAAAAAAATGTTATAATATTTTATAGTTCATTTTCCTACAATTTTTTTATTTGGATTTTCAGATGGCACGCGTAAGAAACAAAGAAAAGCATAATCATTATGAAAAAATACGAAGAGAAAAGATTAAGTTAAATAAAGACAGATATAAAGCTTTTAAAGAAAAAGATGCGGAAAGAAAGAGACAGTTTCGGAAAAAGCAAAAGGAACTTGCTGAACAGGGATTTATAAGCGCTGCACAAATAGAAATAAAGAAAAGTTTTGCGCGAAATTACAAAAAAATGTACCGGGAGAAAGTCAAATCTAAAACACAATTAAACGAGAAAGAAAACAATGAAAAATTAGGTCCATACCAAACACCACAATCAATGGGAAAGGTACTAAAAGCAGTTAATAGAGTTCTCCCAAAAACTGAAGATAGACGTAAGCATATTGTAAGAAAATTAGCTGTAAAAGAATTTCCCTACTTAAAACTTTTTGATGATAAACCTGCAAAAACAGAACCCTGGAATAAACTTAGTGAATATGACACTAAAAAAATCATCAATTTTTACAATCGTGATGACATCAGCTGGCAAGCGCCAGGAAAACGAGATGTAGTATCCTTAAGAGAAACATCGGGAGAGAAAAAGAAGATGCAAAAAAGATATATGATGGTATCTTGTAAACAAGCTTATTCTTTTTTTCTTAAAGAATATCCTGAATTATATATAAGTTTATCCAAATTTTACGAACATCGACCAAGACATATTTTGTTAAGTTCGTTAATGCCACATAATGTTTGCGTGTGCATTTATCACGCAAATTTTAATTTTCTTGTTGAATCAATTCAAAAGATGATTCTAACATTTCCTAAAACAACTAAGGATCTACTAACAGTACTTTGCTGTGACATTAACGAAAGTCAATGTATGAATGGAGTTTGTGAAATATGTGAAGATGATATCGAGTATGCACTAATACCTTTACAAACTGATATGGATTTGCCTATTACCTGGAAAAGTTGGGAAAACGTGGGAAACCAGCCAGTTGTAGAAATTTCTGGATCATTATCAGCTGCTCTAGCGGCTCTAGAAAAATCTCTAAAACTATTTAAAATCCACTGTTTTGTGAAACATGTACAGGAGCGTGAATTTGAGAATGAAAAGGCCAATATATCTCATCAAAAGGCGGTGCTGCAAGTCGATTTTGCAGAAAATTATAGTTGTATTAGCCAGGATGAGATACAAAGTGCTCACTGGGGTCATAAACAAGTTGCTGTGTTTACTGCTGTTGCATGGATTGAAGATCAATCCCACTCTTTTGCCATAATAAGTGATAACCTATCACACGACAAGTTATGCGTCTTTGTTTTTATCAAAAAAATTGTTGAGTGGCTACTTACAAATTATCCCTTACTGAAAGATATTGTCTTCTTCTCGGATGGATGTGACTCACAATTTAAAAACAAATTTACCATGTCAAATTTACTGCCTCAAGATTTGGGAATTAATGGAATTTGGAATTTTTTTGCAACATCCCACGGCAAAGGTGCCGTGGACGGTGTGGGTGGTAAAGTAAAGAGAATCGCTTGGGAAATGGTTAGATCCAGAAGAGCAAGATCAAAGCACGGAAAAGGGGTGTCACAGGTGACATCCCGGTGATCGAAAATCAGGGAGCAAGGCACGTGTCAACTAGTGAGAAAGCTAACGTGCTTGCTAATCACTTTTCAACTGTAGGGATAGACATCGGTGCGCTCCCTGACCAACTCCTCGTTGACAGAGTCAACAATAAGATTGCCTCCTTGGACAATACTGTGTTTGATGTTCCCGTAGAGCACCAGACATCACCACATGAAATCAGAGGTTTTCTCAGGAAACTGCCCCCTTTGAAAGCACCCGGACAGGACGGCATACAAAACCGAATCCTCAAACGACTGCCACTAAAATTAACAGTACAGATTCATTACATATTTAATAATTGCCTAAAACACCAATATTACCCATCTGTTTGGAAAAACGCCAAAGTTATCCCACTAGTTAAAATGGGTAAAATTCCCCAGAGACAAAAACAGCTACCGCCCAATAGCTCTACTGAGTAGTCTCGGGAAAGTCCTGGACAAAGTCATTCTAAAAAGGCTTAATAATGAAGTTAACACAAGAAACATAATAATAGAGGAGCAATTTGGCTTCACACCGGGAAAAAGCACAGAACTCCAATTAGGGCGCATAGTCGATAAAATAATGTTCAACAATAACATCAATACAGTAACATCAGTAACGACGATTGACTTAGAAAAAGCGTACGACACGGTTTGGGGGGAAGCGCTAATATTAAAACTAAGCGACATAGACATACCAGCGTACCTAACAAAACTCACACGGAACTATCTTAAAAATAGAACACTGCAAGTGTTCATAAAAAACGAATACTCAGACAGACAAGATATAACACTGGGACTACCGCAGGGAAGTTGCTTAAGCCCAACCCTCTTCAACATATTTATAAATGACATACCAAAACCAAACAACAACAAAGTACAGCTAGCCCTTTTCGCGGATGATGTGGCAATAGTAAGCGAGTCAACAAAACACAGGGTGGCACAAACATACACACAAAGATATATAGAAAGACTAATCCCATATTTTAAGAAGTGGGGCCTCAAAATCAACCCAACAAAAACGGAAAACACCTTATTCACTAAAAAAGTCAAAATAACGAACCCACAAAACATTAACATAGAAGGCACGATCGTCCCTATAACCCGACAAATAAAATATCTAGGGGTCATTTTAGATAAAACAGTCATCTTTAGAAGTCACATAAACAACATAAAAGGTAAAGGATACGCAGCCCTTAAACTCATAAAACCATACATACAACTCTCGACCCCGATGAGCGAAAAAACAAAAATAATGATATATAAAGCGTATATAAGATCAATACTTCTATACGCTGCACCCATATGGAGCAGCGCAGCAACAAAAAACAAACGCCATTTGTACACCCTAGAAAACAGGGCACTAAGAATAATTAAAGGTCTAAAAACAACAGACATCTCCCTAAACGATCTTTATAGATCACTGGGAATAGTCCCACTCAAGGATATGATTGTATATAAGACAGATAAATTCTTCAACATTACAGTAAACAACAACCACATCACCGAAAACATCGGTAGATATAATAAAAATAACGCACCCTTCAGGGCCAAACACAAACTCATAAATGATCTCTTATACAATCAGGGGCCTTGAGGCCCTATAAAAACCCACAAACAACAACAAATAACGACAGATGCCTTCAGCCGAATCATAGGCAGCTAAGAAAATAAGGACATAAAGAAAACAAGGACATACGTTAAAATTAATAAACTGTGGAGCATCAATGGTACCACAAAAGGAACATTCCCAGAATGTTTAGTATCGGTACATACCAAAACAAAAAACAAAACTCTCGAAAAGGCAATAACCATAATAATAATAATAATAATAATAATAATAATAATAATAAAAGAGCAAGTATCAACGATGCAAGAGAATTCTACGAATGTGTATGTAAAAAAGTTCAAGCTATAAATTTGCTGTATATATCTTCGGACGAAATTGAATCATACAACAATATGATAACAAAACGTTGGGAAAAAGTTTTACCATTCAAAGGCATTCAATCTAAGCATTATTTCAGGCCAAGCGAGAGAAACAATAATTATTTACTGGTAGGCCAAACTGCAAAAAATGACCACAAGGAAGTTTTAGCTTTTAGAAATTAGAATTGTTAGTATTGTTACACAAAAAGTTAATAAAACCGTTTCATTTATTTTTCAAATTTGTTTAATTTATTTTGTCCCGTCCATGGTGTCCCGTCCATGGGTAAAATATATACAATTTACAAAATTATTAAAAACTTTTTCATAATTTTAAATTCAAATTATATTAGATTTGTTATTACTATTTAAGATTTTTTAACCTCAGTGATTAAGTTATACACAAGTTTAGAGAAATATGACTATGATATAAAATCAAAAAAGACTTCAATTTCTAGATGTCCCGTCCATGGTCAGTTTTATCTGGCCTTATATGTAGTATGTTACTAATGTTTGTTAATTTGATTTAATCAAAATACTTCTTCTGATTTGGCTAATACTTCTCATAAATACTCGTAGAAAATATAAGTAAACTTAAGGAATTAACAAGCATATATTTAGACATGTTTCTGATGTGTCCCGTCCATGGGCTTGGAATGGCCGTCCTTCTTATATGGGTGATTCTACAAAAGTTGTATTCCAGAGCTCTTATCACATATGGTATTAAAAGGATTTTGTAATAAAAATTAGAGATAACCCAAACACTTAAATCAATCGGCGTCACCAGAAATACCGATTAATCAGTTGATCACATTTAACTATACGCACGTACGCGATTGCGTGGTGTGGCAGGGGATGCCTTGGCGCGTTTGTCTTTTTAGCAATCATTAAATTGAATATAGGCCGCATTGAAAAAATGGAAATGATATTTGAGCATATAACAAGTAATAACTTACTTTACCTTAGTTTCCGTTTTAATAAAAATCATGAACATTAAAATAAACAAAGACTATTCTTATTTCATTTGTTTTTAATTTTTGGTTGAAGCATTATAACTTTTAATATAAATCAATTTTATATTTAATTAAATATTGTTAATTTTACCTTAAATCATTTCTAACATTTTCAAGGAAGTACACATTTCCATTAGGATTAAATATATTTAATCTTTAATCTTTAAAGAGACATTCAAACTATAACAAGTAATTTTAACTTGATAATATTTTGTTATGGGCTGAATATAATATTTGTAATAACATCAATCCCTTACCCTCAATTGGTCCAAACATATTTGATTGAATAAACAATAAATTTTATTGCAGAAATGACAAAACAATCAATTATAGCATTGTTATTGACTTTATCAAAGCGTTTTTTCTGTGTAAGATGAGTTTCTTTTGCCTAGTGTTTTTCTAAACTTAAGTAATTAATGGCTTCTTATGTATGCCATTGTTTATAAGTTTTTTGGCTATGCTTGCTTTTCTTATGGAAACTATAATTGGCGACTAATTAATTTTATCTACTGCATGGATTCTTTGTTAGTTAAAGTTTGCGGATTTCGTATTTAAATTTAGTATTATTATTATTATTTGGGTTATATGATCATGCAATTTTTGTAAATTTTACTTATCCGGTTTATGCATACTTGCGCTTTGGGTGAATTGACAGACAGGTGTGATAAAATTGTTTTTTAACCTCGACCGCCCACTGTAGCACGTGTGGTAGTCCAGGAAATTATTCGTTGAAACTAATCGTCTCACTCACACCCTTTCCAACAGGTAAAGTACTTTGGAACTTAATCCAGGAGAAGGTACCAAACGTAATTTGCACCCTTTTGCACTTGGTTGTGGTAGATCACGTGTAGAATCGTTATTGATTTTTTTTAATTTGAACAACTTTAGCGGTGATGGCACTATGGAAGTACGAACGCGTTAAACGAGACATCATTTCTTGTAATTTGTATTTTGTCACCTTTTGGCCCACTTTTTTTCTTATCTTTCTCTATTATATTAACTTGTTCAAATCTAAACATGCAATGTTATATATATATATATATATATATATATATATATATATATATATATATATATATATATATATATATATATATATATATATATATATATATATATATATGTGCAAATTTAAAATTCAAATTTGCAATTCGCAAATTTTGAAAAAACTTCATGGTAATTGATAAATTGGAAAAACCGCTTATATAAATTCTTCGTTTTTAAATCACAACAACAAAACTCAGTCATTTTTAAATCAGTCAGGGCACACTTCCTAGAAGCAGATAAACAGATAAACCTAATACAAAGAAACTTGCACAGCTCTTCAGCCATTTGCAATTTACCATGAGATAAATTAAAGAACCTGATTTGAAAAAAAGAAGAGAAAGTAATACTTAAAAAAATGATATATTATAATACTTTATTTAATTGTAAAAAGGATAATACATTTTTTATTTTAGAATTTAAGTAGGTACTTATTTATATAAAGTAAACAAATTGAACCAAAAAAACCGTACGGACCGAAAAAATTGTAAATTTATTTTTAAATATTGGAAATATTTTTTTTAAACCTTAACTGAACCCGAAACAAAATTTGTCGTTTCTCTCAGAACCTAAACCGGACAGGAACCGTTGTTTCATTTGGGTCGGGGTCCCCGTTCACAATGATGAAACTGCCAGCAATATGTGTTTTCGTGTCAGGGACTGAAACATACAGATTGGCTCATTATGCATTATATTCCCAATAGTTAGCTCGTCAATTTATTACATTGCACAGTGGTCTCCCACGCCCAAAGAGCTGGCCAAAAGTGAAAATTGGACCGAAAATTCTTAAAAATATGTAAGTTTGTGAGGTCAACGAATTGGAATTTTAGGAGAAATTTTTCAAAAACAAAATGACTGACTTAAAATGGCCGACTATATTCGTTAAAATTGAAAATAATCAAACAAAAGCTTGTGGATTTTATAAGTGAAAAAAAAATCATTTGACATCGAAATGTTCGAAAACAAGATGGCCGATTTAAATTGGTCAAAATAGACGATAATTTCCAAAAATAAGTTTTTAAGTGTTTGATTTGAATTTTTTTATGATAATAAGAATATTAACTGCATCCCCGCGGTTTCTCAACAATAAATCAAAATCAAAATCAGTTCAGCAGTTTAGGCGTGAAAGAGTTGGATAGACTTTCGTATTTATAATATATATGGATGGATTATTTATAAGTTTTTTATAGTTAAATAGGTTTATTTGAATTATTTTACGTTTTTAATTTTTACAAAAATTTTATACAGTGTGTCCGTAAAGTCCAGGAACATGTGATTATTTTGAAAACGGTAATTTTTTAAAAAAATCGCTGAAACACGTCAACTTTGTTATTTTTCTAGCAATATTTTAGCCTATGTAGTTGTTCCAAAATCTGCCGCGTGGCGGCGCCCCAATCGAAGTAAGGTTTTTTTAAATTACAACCCTTTATTTTTGTTGCATTTTTGGATAGCTACCGTTGTCCTGAGTACATTGATATGCTACATGTGGAGGGTTAAATAAGAAATTTTTTGAGAAAAGTAGGTCTTTGCCGCCGATTGAGATTTTGGTTTTGACGAACTTATTCGCTGTTACGGGGCACCACCACACTAGGTATGCATTGCTAGTAAGGGATTATTTAAATCAGATCTTTCCCAATCGCTGAACAGGTCGAAGGGGTCCAATTGAGTGGCCAGCGCGATCGCCCGATTTAAACCCTTTAGACTTATTTTTATGGGGAACTTAAAATCATCGTCTATGTAAACAGGCCTTAAAATTTGGACGACCGAAGACACCGCATTCAAGCCGAGATCCAGATAATCACTCCAGCGGTACTGGCAAACGTACAACGCTCGTTTGTGGACAGGCTGGCCCACTGCCAAATAGTTTACGGTGGACACTTTAAGCAACTGCTCTGATTGGCTTTCCAAAAAACATTAAGCAACGCATAGATTGTGTTTAAGTTTGACAAAATACCAAAATCTCATTCGGCGGCAAAAACCTGCTTTTCTTAAAAATTTTCTTATGTAACCCTCTAGATTTGGCACATCAATGTAATCAGGACAACGGTAGCTATCCGAAAATGCAACAAAAATAAAGGGTTGCAATTTAAAAAAAAAACTGACTTTGATTGTGGCGCCGCCACGCGGTAGAATTTGGAACAACTACATATGCCAAAATATTGCTAGAAAAATAACAAAGTTGACGTGTTTCAGCGTATTTAAAAAAAAATTACTGTTTTTAAAATAATCTCATGTTCCGGGACTTTACGGACACACTGTATAGGGTGCGCTATACGAAAGTTAGTTTAGTTAGTTTTAATTATTAAAACGATGCATTGCTAAAAAAGTTCTATTAGCAAGAAGGTTGTATTAAGTGATCTCAGATGACGACGGAATCTAATCACGAAAAATAAATCCCCGCCAAACACCGCCAAAGTCCATCTAAATTTTAGATATATATATTTTTTTTAAATACACCCTATTTATATTTAAACAATTTTTACTACCTTAAGGAATATAACAAAGTTTAAAAGCAGATTAAAAAAAGCAATAATGCCACAGCTTTAAACTTTGTCTACGCTCGACAACATTCTCTTGCAAGTTTGGACACCACATAAACAACAACTTTTCAAGACTTTTGTTTGTTTAAACACTGTTTAAAATATCTGTGGTGTAAAGGGTAATCTTAAAATGGTGTCTAAATCCAATACCAAGTGGTGTTAATATAAACACCATGAATTATGGTTGAAAATGTTATATACAGCAAACACCAAAACGGTGTTTATCTAAAAATATTTGAGAAGTGCACCAACACAGAAAAAAAAGAATGGTTAATTTAACTATATTAATTTAGTTGACCCATGAGTACTTATTTAAATCAACTCTGGGAAGGTTAATATAAACAAAGATTAGTTTGACGGTACTAAACCAGATTGTTTTTTTTTTAAATTGGTTAAATTAATCCAGAAAACTTTAGTTAAACCAACCCGCTGAATGGTTTAGGGCCAGTATATTCACCTCCCTTTAAATTTACTAGATGGATAACTGTCATAGTTACCATTGTTGACACAATTGTAACTATGACAATTAAGCATGTTGAGCTCTGAAGTATGTTTTTTTAATATATCCACATCAAAATGTGTTTATTAAGAAAAAAGCTTCTGACCAAAAAATTCCTTTCTAGAAACCATTGTGCATCGTAGAGCACTGGAAATGCCTATAGCCTATAATTATATAATTATAATTAGCGCAACCTAGAATATTTTAATAAAGCCTTTGCTACGTTTAAAAACAACTGTATTGTACACCTTTATCAGAAACTCTTCATCGGATGCGCTGTCCAAAATTACTGTATGTTTGCTTTTAAGAACCTTGGTTTTTTTCGGTTTGTGGGTTCAAGTATTTTTTAAAAACGAGGTCAGCTTACAAAATTTAGAAATTTTGCAATATTACAATTTTCTGGTAGTGATCCGCATAATTATGCCCTTAGTAATATGTAAATTGTGAATAACACGTTGTATTGTACTTGTGGATTTTTTACGTACAATAAATAACTATAAAGTAAAATTTAGTTCTAAGATTATTTTAAACGAAAGAACTTTTTAAATAATAGTCCATGATGTTTATTTTTTAACGCAAGCCATTCCTTTTAAAACTTCCTAAATTATAATATAAATTTGCATTGTCTGAGTACTTTGTCATTTATAAACAATAAATTAAAACATTTTCCAAGTTTCCTTTGGACTAAAGTTTTATGAGCAAAGTTTTTGTTTCAAAAAGACGACACAATATTGCGTATTTAAAAGTTTTTTTTAGGAAAATGGGCTAGTTAAGTATTTATTAAGGTTTATAAAAGTCTTATTTTTATTTAATTAATTGTTTTGTACAACAATTGGCTATAGATGAAGCGTTATTTTATCAGGGGCTCATCATTTTTATTTGTTGTGTAGTAAAACGAACAGCAAAAATTGCTTTTTAAATAAAGTAATTTTTTTAGGCCCTGAAAAACCTTAAAAATATATGAAGAAACCTACAATAATTTAAGATAATTTTTTTTAACAGTTTAAAACTGAGCCACATTCTCAATTAAAAACGTATAGGAAATGTACAGATTGTAATAACAAGTAATAAAGGACAAAAGATAATTTTTATTGTTTTTATTTATTTAAATGAACTTTTGTAATTTATTACTTAATATTATGGCGTTTGGCTTTCCTGCTGAAAAAAAAAACAATTTAAAACCATTTACGAATGAGGAGTTTTCAAACTCTGAATGGTTCTGTGGGCGGAGTGTTACCATTTCGTCAATGAAAACCAATCGGTACCCCTTAAGTAAATTCTTGTTTATCAGGAAAAAAGCTGCTGGCCAGAATTGCTTATCTGAATCAATGATTTTAAATAAGAAAAATCGTTTTTTAAATTTTAAAGTTTTGAATAAGGAAAAAACCTTTAGCGGTCCTTACAATACATTAATCTTAATCTTAATGATTTGCAATGACAAAAATACCCATAAGCAATTTTTGCTTGAAATAAATAGTTTTTAATGGTTATATTTTATAATAAGAAAAAATGGGCAATGTGACTATTAAAATTATAATGTTTTGTAAATGGTTATGAATAGTGGCAGTGCTGATTTCACTTAAAGGTTAATTCATATTATTGACCAATCGATTTGAATCGGATAATTGTGAAGGCAAAATGGGTACTAAGGAAAAAATATGTAACTTATTCAAGAATACGTTTCTGTAGATTTACAAGGTGTAAAAGTTAGAAATAATATCGATGCGAGCGCTCATAGTGAGTACCATTGGAAACTTTGAACTGTCAGTAAGGGGCCGTTCATTAATTACGTGAGGTGTTTAGGGGGGGGAGGGGGGTCGAGCCAAACCTCACCAAATCTCACGTGGGGGGAGGGGGGTTCTCGGCAAATATCACGTAATTTTTTTTTACCGAAAGAAAGAGTGTTAGATTGCGGGAAAACTGGGATAAATTAAGTAAACAATTATAAGCAAATTGTTTTTTTTAAATAAATCTAATGGAATCAAGCACAGATTAACTTATTTACATTAAAACCATGCATTTTAAAAAATCTCACGTGAGATTAAGGGGGGGGGGTCGAAAAATCGCCAAAACGGCCCCTAACTGTGTGCCAATGGGCATTGTTTAAAAGCATAGACAAGTAATAGGTTGGGTGGGGGGGTTTAAAAGAAAACATAATTATAATTTCAGAAAATTTTTAATTGCACACAAAACATGGGAAACACTTGTGTTTTAGGTTGTTGTGTTAATGGGGATTTAAGTAAAATAAACGATGCGGTGAATCAAAGCGGTAAAAAAGAGTAAGTAAAACCATGATTTTACACATATTTAAAAAATATTAACCTTCATTATACTAAGCTTCATAATAGTTATTTGTTTTCAGCTTGAAGAAAGCTTTTCGCACATGTGAAATACAATGTTTTTTCTACGACCCTTTTATTTTTTATTATTTTCAAATACAAAATAAAATAACCTAAAAACTTGTTTGACAGCTGTTAAAATCACTTTTTTTTTCAAGCGGCCATGATATACAACCTTATATGCCTGTATAGAGATAGTTTAAGTGCGTCTTTTTCATTAGCGGCAGACAAAAACTCAAAAAAGCCTAGGGATAGAAGTAAATCCATAGTCTCAATAGACGTCAAATAATAAAATTAATTAAGCAATTATTTATATTAATTATAATCGCACGGAATATTTAATAATTATTTATTAAATTTTAATTGAACGAAATAAAGAACAACTAGTTTATTAGTATAATATTATGATGATATGTCAATGTCGGAACTCCAAAGAAATGTCAGTACGTCAAAATTAATTCAAGCGCAGCATTTTGACAGAGCAGTGTTTACAGTGGTTATAAGTTTTTTTAGTTTTTATCAATAATTTCTAATGCTTTTAGCCAAAATTTTATACCACATGACTTATGAGTAAATAAAATAATTTTATTTCTTATCCTATTTATATTACGCCCTTGAAAAAAAAAATTGTATACAGGGTGTCCGGGAAAAGGAGGTCAATCCGTTAACCATATATTCCTTGAGTTAAAACAATAAGACTTCCATAATACCATTTTTCAATTTAGAGCTTCATGTTCGATATACAGGGCGACAAAGTTTGAAATTTAAAACAGATTTTTTTTAATAATTCGAGTAATTGATAAGATATTAAGTTTAAATTCGGTACACTACTTCAACATAAATAGTTAAATTTTTTTGAGACCAACAAAACAAAAAACAATTGTTAAATAATCAAAATAGGGGGGTCCAGTACTCACTGACTCCCCCTATTTTTTAGTACGTGCGCCAATGACTTCCAAACGGTATTTTTTCAGGTAATCATTTATTGTTAAAAAAAAATTGTCTCTTATAAAATTTTGATAAAATGATTTGTTTTAGAGATAATTTGTAAAGTATGGGTCAGTCCATATCAAATCAACCAAAGGTTCTTCCCCCACCATCTCCGATTTTGATCATTTTTGGTAAATTTGTTTACCTCACTAAAAAACTCAAAAATCCCAAATATGAATTTTTTTCGATAGGTGGTTTTTGTTTTATTGATTTTTGAAAATCAAAAAATTCCGATAAATTTGGGTCTTGCAAGTACTTACAAAAATAGCGATATCTCGTAAACTATTAAAAGTAGAAAGGTGAGTGATGGCTTATTTTAAAGGCCTATTAGAGAACTTTTTTATGATATATCACATGACCTAAATTTTTTCAAAAAAAAATTAAATTTTGAAAATTTGATATGGACTGACCCATACTTTACAAATTATCTCTAAAACAAATCATTTTATCAAAATTTTATAAGAGACAAAACATTTTCAACAATAAATGATTACCTGAAAAAAATTCTGTTTGGAAGTCATTGGCGCACGTACTAAAAAATAGGGGGAGTCAGTGAGTACTGGACCCCCCTATTTTGATTATTTGACAATTGTTTTTTGTTTTGTTGGTCTCAAAAAATGTAACTATTTATGTTGAAGTAGTGTACCGAATTTAAACTTAGTATCTTATCAATTACTCAAATTATTAAAAAAAAAACAGTTTTTAATTTCAAACTTTGTCGCCCTGTATATCGAACATGAAGGCCTAAATTGAAAAATGGTATTATGAAAGTCTTATTGTTTTAACTCAAGGAATATATAGTTAACGGATTGACCTCCTTTTCCCGGACACCCTGTATGTTATTTGGAGTAGAAGTTCTTTTTGTGGTGAGTACAGAGATTGACGGCCGAAGCGTAGCTGAGGCTGGCAACTGTACGAGTCACTTCTACTCCTTATGACATAATCTACTATTATCTTATTCTTTTAATTTTTAAGGTATAAGTTACTTAAAATCAATAAACTTACCTTCTTAATTTAAATAAAGGCACTAAAAATCAGAATATATTATAAAAACACAATTAATTGTGTTCTAAATGATATTTAGACAGTAGCGTGCAAAGGTGATCGGGGGCCCCCCCGCAAATTTTGAGCTGGGGCCCCTTTGTCACTTATACCACCCAATGTGGTTCTCTACGGGGCCCCTCTAAGGTCGCCCCCCCCGCACCGCAGGCCCTGCGGGGCCCGTCCTGCACGCCACTGTATTTAGACATACATATTCAGATTATATAGGCAACAACAAGTTTTGCAAAGCGTTGGAATTCTTCTTCACTCATGGTTAAACAAGCCAATTGCCTAAAAATCGACAAAAATATACAAATTTTAATGAAATAACGCAAATTCGAAGAAATTAAGCTGTTGTACGTCTTGTGGTCCGAATGTCAAACGATGCAGTCAATTTCTTTTCACACATAAATGTCACTTTACATTCGAGTTTTGCCTTGCCAATGAAAAGATTCATTTTCTAAGCAAAGATGCATCGTATATGGTATATATTTTGGGTATTTTTTCTTTTATTATGACGTATAAATAATAATTCCTTTACATTAAAAGTATATATATACATAAAATTCAAATTCAAATTTCGTATTGGTATATATACCAATACGAAATTTGAATTTTATGTATAGTGGCATTAAGTGTTTGATACATGTATAGCCTATACTTTTAATGTAAAGCAATTATTATTTATACGTCATAATTAAAGAAAAAATACCCAAAATAAAAAAAAAACATTTCATTTCTTAACTTAAATAAATTTTCAGGTTGTAGTACCCACCCCTTTTACCAGCCCTGAAAGTAATAGCCATATAAAACTAAAAGTTATTTAAAATAAATATGTAATACGACGGTTGATTTTGTTTTTCATATAAAACTAAAAGTTATTTAAAATAAATATGTAATACGACGGTTGATTTTGTTTTTCACTGAATAGTTATTTTTCTAACTTATTTTCCGCAAGCTCGACAGTGAGGAAAGTAAATGCATCCGGATCAGTGTTGCCAGATATTTTAAAGTCGAGGCGCCAATTTTCGAGTGAGATATGGCCCAAAAGCGCCAACAAAATTGCAATCAGCGCCAACGTAGGATTGGTAAAATTAAAATTAAATTTTTGTAACGGTTAATTCGCAAAATGCATTAAAAATACTTAAACACACCAGTTTAATATTTTTATAGATAAAGACATTTTTCTTGATAGTAAACAATTTTATTATTATTTATGAAATATAAAAAAATAAATGTTTAATATTATTAAAAATAAATAAAAAAATAAATATTCTTTATTTTTTAAAATAAATAAATTTAAATATGGCCTACTGGCATTCAAAATAATAAGGAATAGAAACTGTTCCTATTCATTAGGGGCCGTTCATTAATTACGTGAGACAATTTTGGCGATTTTTCGATCCCCCCCTACCCTTGGTGAGATGTCGTGAGATTTTGCTCGACCCCCCTCTCCCCCCCTTAATCTCACGTGAGATTTTTTTAAATGCATGGTTTTAATGTAAATAAGTTAATCTGTGCTTGATTCCATTAGATTTATTAAAAAAAACAATTTGCTTATAATTGTTTACTTAATTTAACCCAGTTTTCTCGCAATTTTACACTCTTTCTTTCGGAAAAAAAATTACGTGATATTTGCCGAGACCCCCCCCCTCCCCCCACGTGAGATTTGGTGAGGTTTGACTCGACCCCCTCCCCCCCCTAAACACCTCACGTAATTAATGAACGGCCCTTATTATTGTGAATGCTGGTAGGCTATATTTATTACTAATATTATTACTGTAAAGCCGGCTGCACAACATCCCAGTAACGGAAAGGGGAAAAAAGTTAGCTGTCCAATAGGAACTCATATTTCAATTTCTTTTACTTGAATTCAAATTTTGACCGCACTCACCTCTAATTATAAAATTACATTTTTTTACACATATACACTTGATATACACTTGATATACTTACCCAGTAAGTATATGTGTTTACACTACTTTAATACCATCTATGACTATTATTTGTGGTGATCGCTGTTAATATCTATAAGTATTAAATACAGGCAGCTGCAATCTGGAGATATATTTTAAGTAAAGTTTAATTCGAAGAATTTCCAAAAGAGCAATTTATTTTTTTAGAAATCGCCCAAATTGCGGTTTGCGCTTTTTATAAAAAACTAGGCGCAAATTATTTCTTAAAACCGCCCAATTGGCGCTAAAGCGCTCAATCTGGCAGCACTGATCCGGATAAGTATTACTTTGCGCACGGGAGTAGAAAAAATAACTATTATAATGTAAGTTTTAAAAGTCATTTTATTTTGTGACAAGGGAAATTGGATAAACCATACAAACAAAATAAAAACATTTTTAAAATTCAAAGGTACAATATTTTATCTGCGAACACTAAATATAAATATTTAACAGACACTTCAATAAACAAAAATTAATAAATTCAAAATTAAAGCCATATAAATACAAGATCAAGTAACTCTTAGTTACGTGGCAATCAATGTGTATATATTGTTGTTAGTTACGGAAAGACGCTGTCAATAACTTACACTGTTCAAAATTTCATGACCATTTTAACACCAAACCATACATGGTCTATATCGATACAAACCAAAATGGTGTTAAATATGGTTCGTTGGTCCAGTGTAAATTCAAATACTAAAATAGTGTAAATTTAACTTTCACACAGTATTAAAATAAATTTTACCTGGTGTAAATTGAACTCCTTTTCAGTGTTAAATATTATGTGTTTTTGGTCAAATTAAATTATAATACACAGAAAAAAAGGAAACAGGAAGTTCCTTGACGCATTACTAGTATATTACCAGTGGTATTATTCCGGAAAATTGAACCTTCAACTCGCTAGAGATAATGTTTTTAGTGCGTTCCACCATCTTAAAATACTTCAAGTATTGA